CGTGCGGTATCACCAGTCAACTGTGTAATAGGAAAACTTATAAAAAAAAAAATTAATAAAAAATTAAAAAGGATGATTAAAGCGAGGAATATATCGTATAAAGTCTCCTTACCTTTTTTCCCAGTAAAAATGCACCAATTCGAAACTTCCTTCTAAAGTTTTAGCGCGCCGCTTTGCTTCCAAAATTTGTAAAAAATTTAAATCGGCTGCGCTGTTAATAAGCAAGCATAAGAAGAATATTGGCACTCGTGGCCATCATATGAGCCGATGACTATTCAACAATTATTCGCCGAAGGCGAGGTGAATATCGTCGAATAATCCCCAAGGCGAAGTCGAGGGGATTATTCGACAATATTCACCGAACCTGAGGCGAGTAATTGTTTTAGTATAATTAGTATAATTCTAAAATCATAGAAATTTTAGTAACACTCATTAACATTTTATATAAACCGCGTGGAGCGGCTTATATAGCGTCATATTAGGAACCGCTCGACCAATCAGATTGCTGGAAACTCTTTGCTCAGCTCCGAAATTATACAAATTATTCACATTGATTAAGAATTCTCTCACGCGCTGTTCTTTTCCAAGACCGCCAATTTCATTTTCCCACTCCACTAATTGAAAAAAATAGTTTTATTATTGTTCAGTGACGATTCCAAAAGATTTGAAAGCGGTAAACGGAATTTCTTTCGAATAAAACTTCAATCCTCTTTTATTAATTATAATTCAAGTTTTTATAATTCTTAATAGCCATACGATGATTGTCTAGGATCGTGGATATTTATATTTTACATATTCATATCTCCATATATTCATATATTTTTCTTAGAAATTTTAATTGTAAGCTATAGTACGTGTATTTCAGTTTTTGGCTGCAACTGTTTTGGCAAATAAACTATCTATCTATCTTCCAAATATCACAGAAAAGCGGTAAGGATAATGTCACACAACGTGGCACACACACAAACGATAATGTCACACAACGTGACACACACACACAAGCGAAGTCTCCGAAATTCTAGCCGCCCCGTGTTATGCGCAGGTGACAAGCAATCGGGGATCACATTTTTCGTGCATGACAAGCCTCCTGGGGACTTCCCAAGAAGCTAGGGAGATGCTCATGAGGCGGCATCACTAAATGCTTGCTCACAGACCATGAAAATTCTTAAGCCTCCTCCACAGTTGTTCACTTGGATCTCACCGTGAAGGGTCCTCAGCGGGACTAGGTTGTAAGGGCAGGGATGTTGCGTGACCCCCTGAAAAACGGTTGCAAAGAAGAGTAAAAAATCTTCTGATAGAAAGAAAGAAATCAAGTCTGTCCGACAGATCAAGGAAGTTTCAAAGTGTTCCTGACCCCTCAGAAGTTTTTGGCCTTTTCTTTTTCATTTTACAATTAATTCCTGCTGTTCGGTTAAAGACGTTGATAGAGTGAGTTGTAATTTTACAGTCGGCCTAATAACATAAGTAGTTTGATTGCTTCTGATTTATGATCTTTTGGAGGACAGACAAATGAATATTGTTCCCGATAACAACTTCCAGTTTATAAACAGATAAAATCCATGTTGCCGTGCTCCTCTACAGTAAACACTAAAAGAAATCACAAAGAACTTCAAAATGTGGCAAGAAGATCGGTGACATTCGGGTGCGTCTCGTGTTCCATTCGGGTGCGCCTCGTGTTCCATTCGGGTGCGCCTCGTGTTTCACTTTCCTGTTCATAGCTCATTTGGACCTGATCCGTGATCTATCGCTGCACTGCTTTCAAAGCTTAATGTACACTGCTTTCATTGATCCCAAATATAATTCTGCAAGGCAACCATTCTTTAGCTTCAACGAGTAAGGTTAGAGCTCACGAAATGAGAGGTAACCGCCTAAAAAAGTTCAATTTAAATTTGTTTTACTTTTCTTTGATTTGCAAAAGCCTTTGTAAATATTTAAATTCTTTATGATTATGCTTCATTTTCCCTAGGCATCAGTCGTGCTAATTTGCATTTGCAGAGTATCTCAGACAGTTGTGTATCAATAACCTACAAAAGTGATTTCCGAATTTTATCTTCTTTCAAGTCACTGTCCGTCTTCTCCTCCAAGCAGAACAGAACCAGTGGCACCAGACCGGCCATATGGAGCACAATACCAGCAATAAAAAACGGCCAGGTGTAGCAATCAGACAAATCAACCAGAAATCCTGAAATCAAATGACGGGTAGAGCTTCAAGAGAGAAATTGGTTTTCCATAATTCCGTTGTAAACGAACAACATCTGTCTTGCTTAAACTACGTACGACATGCTACTGTACGTTGAAAAGACAAACAATAAAAACTGAGAAATTGCGACCGCAGCACCATTTGGATTAACGCACTGAGTTTCAATTCGTCATGAAGTGCTTGATAGAGCAAGCTTGGTCATTATAGAATTTCATATATAGTAACCGATTACGGCAAACTATTATACATTGTAGTCACCATCTGTCTTCTCATTGGCTAAACGCCCACAGTTGATTTCGGGAAACAGCGCAACCTACAGATTATTCACTAATCTGTACCTACAGATTAGTGAATAATCTGTAGGCTGCGCGCGCAATGCATGATTTCCGGTGGAGCAACGTCAAGTTAACGGACAGCTAAGTAAGAATGGCTTCTCGATTCGCTTCATCGACCCAGCGAGAAATTGAGAAATTACTTGAGGATAAAGATTCTGAAAATAGTAAAAGATCGACAGTTTTCTTCAATGACACTTTCTTTAGAAATGCATTTAACTTTTCTGCACTTGATTGTTTTATAAAAACGGTGAAAATTTGTTCACCACACGGTTGTACATTTTTAAGTGTTCGAAAATAAACTGTGTTCGCTGCGATAATGCGTTTGGCGTTATTTTCTTTAAGACAATGTATAATAAAAAACAATTATTGGATCCGGTTTTTGTGATAACTGGAATAATCACGGTCTCGGTTAGTGTTTTCAGCCTCAGCCTTCGGCTTCGGCTGATAACACTTACCTCGACCTTGATTATTCCGGATATCACAAAAACGTCATCCAATAGTAGTTTATAATCAAACATAATTCGAGAAATTCGCCGTGATTGTCTTTGTTTTGAGTTTCGAAAGACGTGTGTGTGACTTGGTTGCTGTAGCCAAAACTTCCTGCTAATAACAGTATCAAGTCGCTAAGAAGCTGCGAAGTTTGTAAATTGGCCATAAGCACGTTAACTTTCTTGACAGTGACAATTTGCCTGTCCAGATAGGCGGTCAGAATTAGTATTTGCTTCATCTTGCCTGCTCGCAGCAAAAACAGTTATCTTCAAGTTGACCGTTTCAGAATTATCCATTCTAGGAAGATTTCACCCACCCTAAGTTTTCCGGTTAATAACTGACAATTGACAAACCTGCAAAGGGAGGTCCAGACGCCATTGCCAATGACAGTAAACTATTTCCCACACCTAAAGCGGCCGCTCTGCGCTTTTCGTGTACACTAAACATGAGAAGTGAGTTCATTGTCGAGATCAAAACACCATCAGCAATACCATAAATCACAGCAAAAACTTGAATTCCGGCGTAGTTCCTTATCACTGGAAGTACGACGATTGCAAATCCGTCAAGTAAAGCCCCAAACTGGTAAATATAAATGGTATTTACCCAGGTGGCGTCACAAATCCTCCCTGTTACAACACGAGCCACGGAGGATGATAAACCAAAAGGAATGAAAAACCTGGATGCTGAGTCAGCAGAAATACCGAGTTCGAGGCAATAGTTCACCTGCGAAAAAAATAAATGACTGAATTAAAAAGTCTTGGGCTGAAAGAAGTTATGCAGCTCATTCTGTGCGACGTTATCTTGGTTTCTGTGGTAAAGAGCGAAAACTGAAGCGTTTCGTCTGAAACGAGTGACAGTCAATTTGAACCTATCTGTACTACCTAAACTACAGAGAGGCACTGTAAGATTAATGTCTTGACCAAGAACACCTCCCTATATGGAGTCTAGTGCGCTAAGAATAATCCAGCGTGCTCTAATATTTTTAAAAGTGTGATCTTGTACCCTATTTAATTTCAAATGTTCCTCTGGCACGCTCGGTCAACCAGTGAAAGAGACATACAGGAAGCTGAAATACGATAAGGACGTTGACACATGACATTCAAGTGTCAAAAATGAAAAAAGTCAAGAAAAATGAAAAAGTCAAGAAAAATGAAAAAGTCAAGAAAAATGAAAAAGTCAAGAAAAATGAAAAAATCAAGAAAAATGAAAACGTCAAGAAAAATGAAAAATAAAAAAACAAAAACAAAAACAAAAAACAAAAACAAAAATAATACACAGTGATAACCAGAAATGTTCCTTGAGTAATGATAACGGCAAACCAAAATAAAAGGGTAATTAAAATAACAGAAAACGTGAGTCAGAAATCCAGGTAAACTGATAACATGTTGATGGCCACATGCCCTGGAAATCACACGTACTACAGCTAAGACACAGTTGGTTTTGTGATTTCCAAACTGAGTGATTGATAGCTACCCATACCAGCTGCAGAGCGGAGTCCTGCCAGTATTGGAGTACCCTCGCACAAATCAATTGTAAATTTCTCTAAATTAGTTCGTCAGCAATATCATTTCATCTTAGGTGGCTTACCATATGTATTTGTGGAATGAAATGTCCAAACTTCATCAAACACAGACTTAAAACCGCCACCGAATAACGAGGTATCTTGAATACTGAGAAGTTCAACAGTGCGTTCAATTTTCCCAAACAATTTGATACTGTGTTGCTATCAGTTTTGGCCGCAACATGCGAAGATCTCATTTGACTTATTTTCCGGGTTTCTGTTGGGCAATCATCTGCGGTAATCTTTACTTTTTTCTCCTCATGAACTCTGTCTTGCTTTTTGTTAATTACGTCCATCTCCATTTCCGGATGTGCCTCGCTCTCAGAAAGGAGCTTCGAGTCGCACTGGTTTTTTTTTGCTAAAGTGGTCGCTGAAATATCAGGAAGAGCCGGATCACCAAAAGTAACCCCGCATACGCACGCCATTACGAAGAACGGTATACTAAGGTTCCTGAAAGCTCCCCTCCAACCAAATGAATCAATCAGGAGCTGTAATAGAGGGCCCATGATTAGAAGCCCACTGCTGCCCCCGACTGTAACGATCCCCACGGCGAGAGATTGCCATCTACGAAAGTTCTTTGCTGTTATCAGAAAGTACGACGAAAGCATCAATGCTGATCCTATGCCAAACATACAGCCGTAAGTTAAAAACATCCAATCAAGATTGGAAGAATACGGAGTCACTAACAAGCTCACCGCACAAACTAGACAGCCCATGATAGCGGTGAAGCGGCATCCGATGATTTGGCACAGAAGTGATCCCAGAGAGCCAAGAAAAAAAGTCAAACCAATCGCCAGAGAACCGACCCAGACTGAAAGCAAAACAAAACAAAAGTGAGCAACCATTGAAATGGGGACATGAAGGTATTAAAATAAACTTTTATTATAGCGGTCAACTATATACGTTTCCTGAGCTCTATGAAAAGATTTGCCAATTTTTTTTCCATATGGCAGTACAAGAGAATTCCCTAACCAAACGGTCAGGTGGAGTATACGATCTATATACTTTTTCAGATATTCTATTTTATGAAATAAAAAGTGAAGGAAATCAAAACTTTATTTACGCCATTTTATGTCAAAGTTGACCACTTAATATACAAAACTTACTCAAAAATACTGCTAAAATCGATTTCGAGAAACGAAAATGGATGAAATTTAACTTTAAAGACTATTCGTACCTTAGAACTAAGTAAACGGTGACCGCTTAATAGAGGTAATTGCTAAATGGAGATGAATAGCACAATGATTTAGAGGAAAATTCCGGGCTTTCACCGTCCAGTATTGGGTGACGTCGGCTATTTGCGTGGGCTCAGTGTTGACATAATTCTACAAGAAGGCATGAAGACGAAAACTCGCAACATACATCCTCCTCAAATGATTTTTAGAATAAAGTGGGAGGATTTTGTGAAATACCGTGAAATCTGGCAAATGTAAACACTTTTAAATATCCCATACGCACAAACCCCAGCGTGGTTTCTCCAATCACTCACGCATGTCAGAACACTCAATAGTCATTGCGCTTTCAGGTTGCGAACCGTTGAATTTTAAAAGGAAAGCATTTTCAAAATACTGAAATCAAAATGATATCTACCTAAAAACAAAAAGAAAGTGATAAAGATTCATGAACATTCAGTGCAAACGAAGCTTGGTATTCTGTAAATTACGTCATCGTGTCTACCCGAGATGTCGAGCGAAATCCATCTGTGTACATGGGCTTACCAAATGTTTGACATCAATTAACACAGCGGCAACTGAGAAACTCACCAGTTTTCTGTCGACTTTCCTCGAACTCCTTCATTAACTATGGAAGAAGCACTCCAAAGCTGAGCGCAAAACCAAGACTAAGCGCTTGACACACACAAGAACATACGCTGACGAACCACGAAAATAAACTGTCCGGTCGGTGCTGAAAAATTTTGTATATCTTCGTCATTACGTCGTCTTGTTTCATGAGTTACAAAGAATTCTCATTGGAACAGGACAGGTTTGCACTGGTTATGCCTTCTGTCTCAGGTGCTGTTTCTTCTGTGTATTGAAGGAAATTTATATTCCTAGGAGTCAAACGTGACGTGAAAATTGAATAATCTTTGCCACAAGCCACTTATAAAAGACCTCACGTACTCTCGGATTGCAGTGTAGCGCAAGCGTCCTAAGCTCAAGCAACGAAATATGGTCCATTCACAACACTAAATACTCCGTAACATGAAAATTTTACTCTTAAGATTGATAAAACTTACTCACTCCATGTGTGTCCATTGGCTTGCTTTGCCATCACTACTACCCGATCTGAGGGTAGTTTGGAAAACATGGAATGCCGGAATTCGGAACCGGAACCGGAACCGGAACCGGAATACTCGGAATACCCGGAATTCCCGGAATGACCAAAAAATAATAAATTTTTAAAAATAAAAGTAAATTAATAAATAAATAAGAATATTGACGATTAAAAACTAGTGGTAAGTTCACAACTAAATTAAATTTTTTAATACGAAATTTTTCTCTGAGGGTCCCAAAAAAAATCACTTACCGGCACTGTTCATGGAGATGCACGTATTAGAATCAAAAAAAGTCTGCGTCAGGCCAGAAGCCCATACAGCCTAAGCGACGAAATATCTCTACTCTCCCTTCTCCCTGGATGGGATGCTAGTCCATCACATGGTTACAAGTCCCGTTTTAAATTCGTCTCCACCCGTTTACAAACCTATAGGATGTCCAGGGCGCCATAACCGTTATTAGGCCGCCACGCTTTTCCAGCCGGAACCATTGCAGAAGATTAAACAAATGCAACATTTCCAATTAGTTTAATAGTTCAATTGTAAAGAGCTTCGAACTATTACAAATTAATACGCTACCTTAAATAATTATTAACCACACATTGGGAGCTATCAAAGCAGCTACCATTAAGACCAGCCGTCTACAATTATAATTGAGAGAAATTAAAATTACTCGACACCTTTTCGCGTTTATTATATATACCTTGAATATATAACTTTGAATATAAACCTTGTTTAGAAGAATCCATCAATACAAGGTTTATGTTCAAAATATATTGAAGGTATATATTCAAGGTATATGTTTTAGAAGAATCCATCAGTACAAGGTTTGTAAATGGGTGGAGGCGAGTTTAAAACGGGGAGTGACCATGTGATGGACTAGCGCTCCAGGGGGAAGGGAGAGTTGAAAAATTTCGTCGTTTACGCTGTATGGGCTACTGGCCTGACGCAGACTTCTTTTTAATTCTATTACGTACATCTCCATGAACAGTCCCGTGCCGGTATGGTAAGTGTTTTTTTTGGGACCCTCAGAGAAAAATTCCGTATTAAAATATCTAATTCAGTTGTGAACTTTCCATTAATTTTTAATCATTAATATTCTTATTATTTATTAATTTACTTTAATTTTTTAAAATTTATTATTTTTCGGTCATTCCGGGTATTCCGAGTATTCCAGTTCCGGTTCCAAATTCAGGCATTTCATATTTTCCAAAGTACCCGATCTGAGCGGTAATTATGCTCCTACACTGATCTCGAATTACCGCGAAACTTCTCAGTGTATGCTCCACTTGTCCCCACTGTATCGGATCGATTAAGGTTTTGATAACTGGGATGTGAAAATTTATTGGTTTGGACGGTTTTGCTTGCGGTTTTCGGTTTTGATCGAACTTTTTTTCGGTTTGTGGTTTCGTGATTTTTTTCTTCGGTTTTGCGGTTTCTAATGGACCCCAATGCCCCCATCTGTAAAGGCTTCCTTAGCACTATTTTTCTCACGTGTATTCCTCTGACCATTATGAAATGTTTTTAATCACATACTCATCATGTATCAGGGTTTTCTTGTGATGTTTAGGATTTAAGGGTTAAACTTCCATACAGGCTGAATTTTTTTCGGGCGTTATTTTTACTACTGCCCAAGTAGTGTACATTTCTGCGAAGATTACTCTCATCTTCACTGATGTTTAGGAGTTTACGATCGTTGTGGGATTCATTTTGGAAGCACCATAACAGAAAGTATGGTTTTAATCATTCATCAAAGGATTATCTATCTTTACGTGTAACAAGCGTGGCAATCATTTCTGTTTCCTTTTACGCAAGCAGGTCAAGCAGGTAACCGGTGGGTCCCACGTGGGTGTCGCATCCGTGGGTCGCATCAAGTGACTGACAAAAATTAATCTCTTGGTTCTCGCTTCGTTCATGCTTCTCCTGTTGGGCTGAAAGGTCTGTAGGTTGCCTTGAGCGAGATGAGCCTCTTGGAGGAAGTCAGAGCATTTTTAATTCTCAAGGCAACTTCATGTGACAGTAGATCATTCGCCGCGTCGCAATAAGGCGCCGGCGTCGAACCCATCTTAAACAAAAATTCCTATTTATGGACAGCCCCAGGTACTCAAGAAATTTCTAGCTGCCCGATACATACGTACGTACATACATACATACATACACACACACACACACACACACACATACATACATACATACATACAGACATACATACATACATACATACACACACACACACACACA